CCATGATATGCGTGTGGGCAGGCAGGGGCCAGTGCCACGATGTAGCGCGGCTTCTTCCTTCTCAGGGAGACTCACTTTCCCTCTTTAGACCTTCAGCTGATTGGGAGAGGCCCACCCAGACCACTGAGGGTCCTCTCCTTTATTTAGAGTCAGTTGGTCGTGGATACCTACAGAACACCTCCACACACACCCAGATTAGCCCTTATGGGGGTCACTGGGGCTGCGGCCTGGCCAGGGACACACAAACTGACCAACACATTGATACCAGTGAAGGTTGGCAAGACACCCAAAGGCCCAGACAACCCCCACCCCTCTGTGGCTTCTTGAGGACATCTGTGCCTTCATTGGCCCCATCAGAGTCTTGTGGTCACCCTTTTGCCACCTCCCTTTATTCTTCTTGAGACATTTCTCCAGGGGTGTCGGTGGGGCCGCCCTGGTCCCTCAGCCCCTGTGGGAAGATGAGGCCAGTGCACAGAAGGGGCCACTGAGGTCAGTGTTCACTTTCCACTACTCACAGATGCTCCATGAGGTTCTCCTGGGCCATGCTCTATGTCCCCCGAATTCCTACGGAAAGCCTGAGAGCCACATTCATTCTAGAAGTGGGGTCTCACCACCTTAGTTTTAGAATCATGTTTTGTCCACTTTTTCTTCCTCCTTGGCTTGCTTTTGCTTCACAGAGTATCTAGAGGATTTCAGCGTGGAGGCGCTGTGTTGCAGCTCCAGGCAGTCCAGGCCATGATTTTTCACCAGGAGGCTCTTCCCTGTGGGAGCCTGTGTGAGGGCTGGATGGGCTGTGTGACGTGGGGTGTGTTGTTTTTCCCCCAGTTTGCTACAGAGAGTCAGGCACTGGGTCTGCCCCCGTGACATCTGTACCTCCTCCTCCTCCTCCTCCTCCTCCTGGGCATTGATGGGACATGTCCCCCTCCCCCCTGCCAGGTGTGAAAGGCTTGGCCTGGTGCCAGCTGCATGTGCACAATCACTCAGACTGGCAGGGAGGAGGTAGGGTGCCTTGGCTCTCTCCTCCCACTTCTCCTGGTCACTCCATTGCATGCGCACAGCTGGGCCTACATGTTCCTGAGAAGTAAGGAGGGGGTTTTGCTCTGTGCACAACATCTGCAAGGTTGGAAATGGAACAGGATGTGGGGTGTGCATGGAGGAGCAGGAGGCCAGTGGAGCTGGATGGAACAGGCTCTTTAGGGACATGGCTGCTTCAGTGTTCAGGGACCCACTCCCCAGAGGTCCATCAAGCTAACAGACTGAAGATTGAAACTATCTGTAGGCTCCTTAGCTTGGGGACCTTGGCCAATTTCCCCTTTGTCCCTCAGCCTCTACAAGATAGGGACCTTGTTCGCCTAGAGCAGTGGTCGGCAAACTGCGGCTCGCAAGCCACACGCGGCTCTTTGGCCCCTTGAGGGTGGCTCTTCCACAAAATACCAATTTCTGCGCATGGACCATGAAGTTTCAATCGCACAGTATGTGTGCGCCCGCACGTGGTATTTTGTGGAAGAGCCACACTCAAGGGGCCAAAGAGCCGCAGTTTGCCGACCACTGGCCTAGAGCAAGCATGTCAAACTTGCGGCAGGCTGCGAATCTGACATGCTTGACCTAGAGGGTCTTGTGTAAATTAGCGTAGCTTTAGGAGAACCAGTGTACTCCCTGTGGCACAGGATGAGCTCACTCTTGGCTCCTGGTGCTCTTCCCCCTCAGACATGCATGTGGTTCAGCTGGCATAGGGTCACAGCATGAACGTACCTCCTGGGTGGGTGTTGGGCCCATCCCACAACCTCCCAGCCCAGGCTGGGGCTTGCTGCCAGACTGGCCCTGTAGCACCCTCTGGTGGCCACGGTCGCCCTGTGCACTCTGCAGCATTCACCACATTCCCTGGTGAGCTAGGCCCCACCTGAATGTATCTGGCCTCCAGGACTGTGTCTTCTGGAGCAAAATACTCACCTGTCCATTTTTGGGGTTCGTTTTCACATCTGTGTTCTCTGCGCTCTCAGGGGCACTGAGCTAACTCACTGGTCCTCTGCTGTCAAGGGGTCAATTCTGAGTTGTTAACCCCTGGCAGCTGGTAAGCACCCCCGCCTGGCCAGCCCCACTCCAAAACTCTTCAGTTGAATGAAGAAGGAGAGGTAGGGTTTTGTCCTTGGCGTTTCCCTGGGCTGTGGTGGGAACATGAGCTGCAATTTCTAGAACAAGGTCTGATAGGGCTGGTCACAGACCTTTGGCCGGTGTCTATGTGTGTAGAAACCATGTCTATTAGGATGTGCTCAAGATTGAGCCACAAGGTGCTTGTTGCTGTGTTATTGGTCCCAGGGATAGTTTGGAAATATCTTAAAAATATCTGTAGAATGGGGTTTATGAGTCTGGAGACATCGTACACCAAAGTTGAGCAGTTGAGACCTTAGGAGCCTGGGGGAAGGGGGCAGGTGAAGGTGGAGCATTGCTTTTCTGAGCCCCATGGAGAAGGAAGAGAAGAAGGTGCTTAGAAAGGGCCCTGGGTATCTGCCAGGCCAGCAAAAGGGGCTGCTTTGCTCCTAGAAGGCGTGCTTAGCCACAGCAGTAACTCTCCCCAGAATGGTTCCCTGGGAATGAAAACGATGAAGACACAGACAATGGAGCAGAGAGGGCCTGGGGTAGGAGGTGGGGGCAGGCTGGAGGGGGTCAATGGGGGAAAAAGAGAGGACATATGTAATACTTTCAACAATAAAGAATTTTTAAAAAAAATATTTAAAAATGATGAAGAAAACTGATGGTTCCTGGTAATCCTTCTGGCAAGAGCGGGCCTGGTCAGTGGTGTTTGGCTCCCATATCCACCTGTTTTCCTCTTTTTGCCTGAAGGAATATCCAGTGCTGTCCCCCACCATGTTGCTCCCACCTCCACTAGGGACTTGATTTGTCTCCAGAACTCTCACCTGCACCGCATACAGTGACCTGGGGGAGGGCAGTGGCTGACTTGGGACAGATTTCAAAGGGAGGAGGTGAAAGGCTTCTGGCCAGGACCCCACTAACTGCCGCAGGGGAGCCAGCACCCCCTGCAGGCCTCCGGCCTCAGAGGCACTCAGGGCACCTGAGGTGGGAGAAGCATGTTTATTGTTTATTGCTCGTTTTTCTGTCACACAAACGCTTGTCCCCATCCCCCATAACCTGGTGTCCGTGCTGCCATCAGACATATCCAAACCCACCCACTACATATACTCAGACCAACTGGTAGCTCTGAGACTGTCCAGAGGGCACATTCGTGGCTGCTGCATTTCAGGCCATGTCCTGGAACACATGCCTAGCTCCCTGGCACAGAGGCAGCTGCGCATTCCTGGGCCATTTGTGCCCAGCTGGATGGTTCCCAGAGATTGGTAATTATTAACCAGCAACAAACCATTAACCAGAGGATGCCATAGCAGTGGTGCCGCTCCCAGCACACTTTCCTCCCACCCCCCAGCTATCCTGAGGACACTGGCCACAAGCACCTCTGTGTGTGTCTTCCCCTGTTCACTAGCCAGGACCAGGCTCTCCTGAGCATTATTTCAAGCCCTGTCACCCACTGTCCTGCACAGACTGGCCTCTGGGCTCAGTGCTGGGCCCTCTCCTACTCCAGGACAAATTTTGGAAGTGGGCATGTGTGCCTAGTGAAAAAGGCCCACACAGGGTGAAAGGGTTACAGTGAAGTGCCCGGGGGAAGCACGGTAGCTGCTCCCTGCTCAAGCTTGGGTAGGGCATCTGCAGCGTGGTTAGTGGGCCTCTGCACATGGCCTGGTCCCATCGTCAGCTCTCTGCTGGCTACAGGGAGCATTCTGAAGCTGTGATGAGTGGTTTCCTACTCCCGTGTCCTTGGGCAGATGTCTGCCCTGTCTTGATCCAGTGTGGGCTGTGCCTGTCATGGCTGTGGCTGCATAGTTGCGGAGTTCTGTTTCCCACCTGCCTACATGAGTGGGGTCGAGTCTGCCTCACGGCTGCACGAGCTGGGGGGTGGGGTAGGTAGGGTGGGAGCTACCCAGGGCCACCAGCACCTTAGAACTCAGGCCGGATTCCTCTCCCCTCCTTTCAGGGGTGACAGTTCAATGGGGACTGACACCCTCTGTGGCCACTGCCCCCTGAGCAGATATGGGCAAGGAAGGAGGAGCCACCCACGTCCGGCCCAGTTTCCCCGGAAACTGCTTTTTATTTTGCTGACTGGTGTACAGGCTTCCTGCCATGTTCTGGGCAGCTGCATGCTAGGTGTGCACCCGGCTGTGGTTGCATCTCCCTGGTGACCCTCAGAAGCCTTGTTCACAGCCACAGGCCAGTGGACAGACACTCAGGTGGAGTTTGTATCCCCATGGAGGAGGTCACTAAGCAGAGCAAGGGTCAAAGCATCTTGGCTGCCCAGCGAGCCCTGCTGGCTGTTGACATCATTTTGTCTCATTTTCTCCCCCCCCCCCTTTTTTTTGTTAATCCTCACCTGAGGATATTTTTTCCATTGATACTTAGAGAGAGTGGAAGGGAAGGGGAGAGAGAGAGGTAGAAACATCGATGTGAGGCACATTAATTGATTGCCTCCCGCACGTGCCTTGACTGGGGCTGGGGATTGAGTCTGCAATCAAGATATGTGCCCTTGACCAGAATAGAACCCGTGGCCCTACAGTCTGTGGGCCAATGCTCTAACCACTGAGCAACCAGCTAGGCCTCATTTTACCTTTGAGGATGTCTTTGGCCAGATCTGCCCTTTTTGATGGGTGAGGAAACGAAATCATGGCCCAGATCTGGGTTCAGTCCCTGCCTCCACATGTATGTTACCCGCTCTGTACTTCTCAGACTGTGATGCCATCACCCTTCCCTCTTACATGGGACCAGAGGACCCTGGCATTACTGGGGACAGGTGATGGGGACCGGCCTAGGGTCCTGTCACTGCCAAAAAGCAGAGGTGTTTAAAGCAGAGGTGGACAGTTGGGGTCCAACGGCTGATCTGTGCCCCGATCCCCTCCATGCTCTGGACTCTCAGTGATGCCCTTGTCTCCGTGCAGCACATCGCCATCCCGCAGCCGGACTGCCCCTCGGAGGCTCGGATCTTCTCCTTCTACCTCTCCAACATTGGCCGTGACAGCCCCCAGGGCAGTTTCGACTGCATCCAGCAGTACTTATCCAGGTGAGGCCAAGAGGGACAGCCCTGCCTCTCCAGCCTCCCCCCTGGGCCCCACCCTCCTGTGCAGGGTGTTTGCCCACCGCTTTTGGCCCAGTGCCTCCTTCTCCCAGTGCCCCCATACCTTGATTGAGCCCCTCTGGCTGCTTTCATTGTGTCCAGGGTGTAGGTACTTGCATTGTGTCTCTGGCCCAGGGGCCTTGGACCCCTTGTTTCTTCTGGGTAAAGATGTGCCCTGTGGAAACCATATGTCTACATCAGTGCTGAGCCCTGTTTCCTGGTGGGGGCTGGGGGACTTGGGCCCAAGACCATATCTCCGTCTCCCAGGTGTTCATCTTAGCTCCTGGCCCCTTGTCTTACAGCCATGGGGATATACACCTGGACTGCTTGGGTAGCATCCAGGACAAAATCACAGTGTGTGCCACCGATGACTCCTACCAGAAGGCACGGCAGAGCATGGCACAAGCCGAGGAGGAGACACGGAGTCGGAGTACCATCGTCATCAAGCCCGGAGGCCGCTACCTGGGTGAGGATGGGAGCCAGGGGCTTCAACTGTGGGGGCTCCACTTGGGCGGGAGCAGATTATGCCTGACAGGCAGCTGTTGGGGGAGTAGGAGGCATTCAGAGCCTGTCCAGGCCAGGAGCAGGAATGATGGGTAGCAGAGGTGTGGTCCAGCCCCTGAGCAGGACCAGCCAGGCCCATGTCTGGTCAGGAAGAAGGTCCTGCCAATCAGTGGGGGTTATGCCATCTGCTGCCTCCCAAACCCCCAGGTGGACTTAGACCTAAAATGAAGAATTTGAATCCTTGGCCTCTCTCCAGGCCACAGTCTCAGGGACCTTTACTGGTCAGAAACACAGACATGCTTCATGAACACAGGGTTGCCATATTTCCTCTGGCCACCACCCTTGTTCTCACATGCCCAGCTGACTCCTCACCAAGTCTGATATGCCTAGCATGATACAGACCACCAGATGTACCCCACAGTGGCCGGCTACTGTGCTGGGGCCAGCGAGTGGCTGTCGGATTGAGACCTGGAAGGAAAAGCATTGATCCTTGCTTGCCTGGAAGGCTCCAGCAACTCAGCATTTGTTCGGAAATAATTTTGGTGAAAACATTAAAAATGTGATTAAAAGTACAGTTTATTCAGAAAGCTCATCATCCTGTTGCAGCCTTCTCACCTCCTAGACCCAGACGGAGTTGAAATGTTATCAGAAGTTATTCCCAGGGAAACGGGCATTAGGCAGAAGAGGCATGAACCAGCTTACAGCAGATGAGGACCTCAATGGCGTTTTTCTTTTTTAAGAAATGGTGGGAGGTTTCAAATACCCCCAAAGAAAGCCTAGTTTCCTTTGCTTGGCAGTGGGGTTGGCTCTGAATGAAATTCCAGATGTCTGTGCAGGAGTTCGTCCTGCTGGTCAGTGTTTAGCCCCAGTGGACATGGCTGCCCACCACTGGGGTCAGAATCCAAAAAAAGCTTCACCTACTTGCTTTCACCTCAAGATGCAAACATAGACATTCATAGACATCTTAGTGAATTTCTGGGTCTTCCAGCCAAAAACTTGGCCAAGATTTGTCTTATTGGACCATTTTGTATACGATGAGAATTTTTGCAACAGTTTATATTTTAGTGGAAACACTCATCTCACCTCTTAAGATGCTGTCCGGCTGTACTTGGTCTCTCCCCATCTCATGTCAGCCTGTCAGCTGGATCCTCTAGGGACAGAGTCAGGCCCTATTGGAAAGCCTAAAGATGCACTGACGCCCTATGGAAGGCCTGCAGATGCACAAAGCGCTTCTTCCTTTCTTAAACTGACAAATCAGATTAGAGGGATAAAAGCAAAAAGAAGTCATCATGGAGAGGTTTTTGGCCCAAGGATTTAGGGCATGTGCTGACCTCACTCAGCCATCCACATTCCCTTGGTGTCAGGTGTAGCATCCAGAACAGAATTAACGACTTCCTCCCTCGAGAGCAGTGCCTACTGGCTCAATGGAGGGGAAGCCATGCTGGACCCCATTGTCTCTATCAGGAGAATGTCAGAGCGGCCTGCTGCCCCCAGGACTCTAGGCACAACCATGTCTGCCTGAAGAGCAAGCACTTGGAGCCACAGCTGGGGAGCTGCTAACACCCTGGGTTCTCCAGAGCAGCTGCCCAAGCAGCCCTGACATCTATGTTCCCTACTTTTCCATAAAAGAGAATGGCGAATCCCATGGGACCAGCACAGGGCTCCGAAGCAGTCTCAGGGGACGCCTGCCTTGGCAGGTCAGGGATCCCCCTCCATTTAACATCAAAAGGACTCATAGACCAGCTCCTTCTCCCTGTGGTGGTCAGCGTTTTTGGTCCCCAGGATTTAGATCGCCCCGATGAAGTCAATTATGGCTCTAAACATGCCTGTACTTCCTTGCTGCTCCCGTTACTGAGCTTGCAAGTTCCCAGTGAGCTGTGTGTGGTCAGCAGGTGGCGCTCTCAGCCCCCCTGGATCTCCAAATAGCAGGCTGGGCTGGACACGCTGGCTTGGCAGAAGTGTGATGCTGTTGGCCATTGCTTTCCACACTCAGGAACTCGGCATCAGCCCCAGGCAGTGGGACACCATGGCCACCCTCTCACCCCCTCCAATTCTTAACTTATCTATCACCCTGGTTCTTGTTGCAGGCAAGAAGGTTCAGTTTAGGAAACCAGCCCCAGGGGCGACGGAGACTGTGCCCTCCCGGAAGCGGGCAACCCCCATCAACCTGGCAAATGCCATCAAGAAAAGTGGTGTTAGCGGGGGCGGTGGGGTATCTCAGAGGCCTTTCCGTGACCGGGTGCTACATCTTCTGGCCCTGAGGCCCTACCGGAAGGCTGAACTGTTGCTGCGGCTACAGAAGGATGGCCTGGCGCAGGCAGACAAGGACACGCTGGACAGCCTCCTCCAACAGGTGCATGCTTACCCAGGGCTGGCTGGGGTGGGGTGGGGTGGGATGGGATTCAGCCAGCCTATGAGCAGCCTCTACAGACAGTCTGGACACACACCCTGTTCCTTAACACCTGTTAACACATAGGCAGCGGGCACTGCACAGGAGATCCAAGACTTCAGTTGCACAAGCTTTTTAGAATTGAGTGAAATCAGGGAAAGCACACGTTAGTGAGAGCCCCTCACCAGCTATGATCCCAGGCAGGAGGCTTCACTTCTGTACCTCTAGATTCCATCTGTGGCTGGGGCATGGCTGCAGCACCTCTTATAGTGCCTAGGGCTTACAGGAGGATGCTCTGCCTGTAGGAACATGGTGCTGGCAGGTAAGCCTACTACTAAGAAACAGCCTGAGCTTTGGAGCAAGTGAGGTGAGCGCAGTCACCTTCCTGAGGCCCTGCCCTGGTTCCCAGGATTCCAGGAGGTAGCCTGAGGACCTCTAGGAAGCGAGTGGCTTGCTCTGGCTTCACCACATCAGCCAGGCCCTGCTGATGCCACTTCATTGCTGTGAGGACAGTCATGCCAGCACCCGAGGAGGAGGTGTGGTCGAGCCTCTCAAGTCCCCTCTTCCAGCTCACCTGTTCTTCCTACTTTCCGCCTCCGGCGCTCTGGGCACTTGGCCCGTGCCTCTTGTGGCAGAGAGCTCATGCCGAGATGGTAGCTGTATCTGAGGACGAGTTTTCATGTTTGCCGAGTTCAGCGGGTCTCTAGGTGTTCATTTTCCCCTTCCTCAGTGCAACCCGAGGCTCTTGTGAGCCATGCAGCATGTTCGGTAGGAGAATGTCAGCACCCATGCTCCACCTGGGGTCCCTCATTACCCCTAGCCCCAGAGAGTTCACGGTAAAGGGTAGGAGTGGGGAAAAGAGGCCTCTGCAATCTTCCCCTGTGGGAAAGTTGGAGCTTCATTTCATGCATGGTTGTAGATCTGGGTTGGGCCCAGGCCCGCCCGTTATCTCTGAGGGCACCCCTTATCTTCGTTTAGGAAGACATCTCCTGTGTTCCAGGGGCCTTGGTAATTGTTGACACTTCACATCACCAGTATATCAGGGGCTCCCATGTCACTTACTTGGCACCCATGTGTGGATTTGGCCTCCTGAGGCACCATCCCCAGCTCATAGTTTGTGCTGACAAGGACCAAGCAGTGCTTTTTCTCCACGAGAGTTCGGGAGTTGGCTCAGGGGCTTGCCAAAGCTCCAGGAAGCTGCAGAACCAGAATCAACCTTCCCAGGGGGCTCAGTTCCTTAGAAAGTCAAACGTGTCAGTCTTGTCCTCACAAATTAAAGGGAAGCACATGGAAGGCCCTTCCCCTGAGCGTGGTGCCCCTAGAGCCTTTCTCTGTAGCACAGGGAGACCAAGGTAGGGCTGAGTTTGATGGAGCTGTCAGGTGTGTCAGGTGGGACCCCCGCCCTGGATGTGCCTGCAGCCCTCACTGCTGTCAGGCTAGACCCTCAGCCTCTGGTGTGGCGTTCTTAAGAATGCCCTCACTCCCGCTCTCCCCTCTTGCCTTGCTTATGCCTGAAATGAGGAAGAAACGAGAGACCCTCAAACCCAGAATGTGAAACTTAGCTAACTGAGCACACAGATACACCTGAGGTTTACCCTCAGAGAGGCCCTTAGACACGGCAGGACGCCAAACTCCATTCTCTGGAGAGGTCTGGGGGTGCTTATATGGACCGGCCTGGAGCAACTGCTCTGTTTCTTATCCCCGGACGCTCTCGTTGCTCCAGGCCCTTCTGGAACTAGAGAGGCACCGTTATGGGCTATGGCTCCTCCACTCAGCTTGGGTTGTCGGCAGCCTCCTGGAGGTAGCCCAGCCAGCATCTACAGGCAGAGCGTCCTCCTTGTGCCTGCTCTGATTTCTCCTGAACGGCCCCATCTGCCTTGTGCTTCTGTGTTCACTGCCCAGGTAGTTCTCCCCAGTGATTGTGGGGGGCAGCAGGGCCCTGTCAACTTGGGGAAGGGGAAGGTCTTCAGCAATCCTGTGGGCTGCACCTTGCCTAGGCTGGTCAGCCTCCCCACATGACCAGGTATCCCGTGAGCAGCACTGACAAAATGGCGTTCCTCAAAGGAACCTCTCTTCCTTCTGTGGAAACATTTAAGGCATCAGTCTCCAGGGCTGGCTGGGCTTCAGAGAAACCCATAGGCTCGTCCTTGTGGGTGGGAGTGTTGACAGGTTGGACATGCTCTAGGCCAGTGATGGCAAACCTTTTGAGCTCGGTGTGTCAGCATTTTGAAAAACCCTAACTTAACTCTGGTGCCGTGTCACATATAGAAATTTCTTGATATTTGCAACCATAGTAAAACAAAGACTTATATTTTTGATATTTATTTTATATATTTAATTGCCATTTAACAAAGAAAAATCAACCAAAAAAATGAGTTCGCGTGTCATAGGTTCGCCATCACTGGTCTAGAGCGTATTTGAGCAATATATATTAAAAGCCATAAAAGGCGTTCAGAGCCTTTGACCCATTAATCCCGCTTCTGGGAAGTTGGCGAAAGAAAGAACCGTTGCCTGCATGGAAACGCCTGCACACAGTGATGTCTGTTTATGCTACAGAGAAACGGGAAATACATCCGCATCCAACAAAGGAGATGTTTGCGTAAATCATAGCGTGGCCATTCGGTGGAATAGTACTCAACTGTTAAAAGTACGCCTTGTGGCCCTGGCTGGTGCAGTTTGGTTGGTTGGAGCGTTGTCCCATACATCGAAAGGCTGCAGGTTCAGTTCCCGATCAGGGCACATACTTGGGTTGCAGGTTCGATCCCTGGTTGGGGTATGTACATGAGGCAGTCAATCAGTGTTTCTCCCTGTCCCTCCCTCCCTTCTCTCCAAAAAATAAAATATATCCTCTAGTGAGGATTTTAAAAAAATCCTTACCAGATAATTTCAATGTCTGAGTAATCTTAGTGTTGGCACCAGATGATGGTCTTAAAAAAAATGCTCCTTGTGGAAATCACTATGACATGAAGTCCTCTTAGAACCCAGTAATAGGGAGAAAGCAACACACAGCTACACATGCATGTGTAGGAGACCAGGGCGCCCTTCAAAACTTCAAGCACCCTTAAGGCAGATGTTCAAAAACCCATCTTCAGAAACCATCTTAGAAACCAACTCAGCTTTCATTAACCAATGGGAGCAGAGCTAGCTGGTGCATGGGAGGTGGGCTCAATCTAGCCCCTAGAGGCGCCTCTTGCCCGGCACCCCAGCCTCTGCTACTCTGTCTCAGGAGCTGCAAATCCTAGAGGGGTGTCTTCATCCATTCAGGCTGCTATTGCAGTCCCATGGAGTGGGCAGCTCAAACAACAGACATTTACTTCTCACAGTTCTGGAGACTGGACTTGCAAGATCAAGGCGCTGGCAGATTAGGTAGCTTTGAAGGACCCTGTGGTGATGCATCTTCACACTGTCTTTACATGGCAGAAGGGGCAAGGGAACCTCTTTTATAAGGAGACTAATCCCAATCATGAGGGCTCCGCTGTCATGATCTAAACACCTCCCAAAGGCCTCACCTCCAAATACTATCACATACCATAACATGAATTTTGGGGACACACACATTCAATCCATAGCAGAGGGAAGCTGATGATGGGGTTTATAAATGGTAGCCCCCCCCCCGCCCCTTTTTAGAGCCAATCTGGCCCCTAGCAGCTGTAAGAAGTATGCATCTGGACTTAGTGCAGAGGAGCTGGGGGTGGGGTGCTGTCCTCTTCCCTTCCAGGACTGTGTCTGCCTCCATGCTCCCTTCCCTCCGGCTTCCCACAAAGTGACGCTGGCTCTGTGTTGCAGGTGGCCAATGTGAATACCAAGGATGGTACTTGCACACTGAAGGACTGTGTGTACAAGGATGTGCAAAAGGACTGGCCTGGCTACTCAGAAGGGGACCAGCAGCTGCTAAAGCGCATGCTTGTCAGGTAAGGCCACCTCTTCTGGGCCTGGGGTAGATCTCAGGGTGCTGGGTTGGCATTGTCTAGTTCCAAAGGCTTCAGCGCTGAGAGCTGGGTAGAAAGGCCCGTGGGAACTCTGGCCATCCTCCCCATGCCTGGACAGCCCACCTTGGCCTCCTGCTGGGGGAAAGGCCAGCCCCCACTGTGTGGGCTGGGGAGCATACATCATTCTCCAAGGGCTTCTGCTTAGGAGGCTGTGCCTTCTTAGAACCATTTAAGAATGTGAAGCAGACGAAACAAAGCTCCCGCAGATGTGACTAAACAGGTTAAGTGCACCCTCTAGGGTTAGGGACCAGAGGTCAGGAGTGGCCTAGGGACTCTGGGAGGAGTGGGTAAGCGGCCTGGTCAGCCACTGATTGATTCCTTCTCTACTGATGCTGGATGAGCACTAATTAGTGCTTAAGTGATTTCTCAGGGACCTCGAGCTCTTTATGGAGGTTTTGTTTTGTTTTTCTCTCTTTTAAGTTCAGCTCTTTAAAGCAGTAGTAACTGCATCTGGAAAGCAAAGCTGAGTTGGGGCCACTCTAGGTGAACCCCAAGTTCCTCCTGAGCCCTGCAGGGCACTCATCCCCGAGCCACTAGGCCCGAGGTCCCTGCTCTGGCTGTCCGAGGTTTCTGGGTGCTAGGGAGCTGAAAGGAGACAGTCTCTGTAGAAGAGACACCCTCCCCCATGTCCCCTCTCTGGCGATCTGTTGCCCCAGCTAAACATGTTAGGTTGGCACTGTCCCCTCCTGCAGGTGTTTTCATTCATCACATAATTTTTGGTAATAAAGGTCCAGTGTTGAAATGGCTGATTACGCCTACCCAGGTACTTTGAGGTGGCAAGGGGCACTTGAGGGGCACAGTGAGGCTTCTGTCCGTCCTTCTTTTAGAGCCTCTCACCAGATGCCTAAGTTCCCAGACCCCAGGGCCTTGTCCTCACTGAATTTCCAGGAAGGGGCATGGCTGAGAGTTAGTAGCCCATGTGCGTGTTTCCATACAAGTGTGTGTGCACGTGTGTGTGTATGGTCAGTAGGAAACAGCACGCAGAGGTTCCCCACCCAGCCCTGTGCACACATCCACATGGACAGCCTTGCAGGTGATCTGGGGCAGGGGGGCAACGTGGCCCCCCAGGGTCTGAAAACTTACCTTGTCCTTCCTGTTCGTGTGTGGTTGGGAAAAGGTCTCACTATTCTTCCTCCTGCTTCCTCTCATTCTGCCCCTGGGGCACGGTGCTCCTAGACTCTTCCCATTGTCTTCCCTATTATCTTTTCCCTTTTTTTTTTCTTTTAGGAGGTTTCTTTGGCTTCTCCCAACCTGTCCTTTTGGCCATCATTTCTAGTTCCCAAGAGTCCTTCTTATTCTCTTTTTGTAGCATCATGTTCTTTTATTTATTTTTTTAAATAAATATGTTTTTATTGATTTCAGAGAAAGGAAAAAAGAGGGAAGAGAGAGAGAGAGAAACATCGATTGGCTGCCTCTTGCACACCCTCTAATGGGATTTGAGCCCACAACTTGGACACGTGCCCTGACCGGGAACTGAACAGGCAACCTCCTGGTGCATGGGACAATGCTCAACCAACTGAGCCACACCAGCCGGGTGTATCATGTTCTTATCCATGGGAGTGATGCCATTTTTTATTTACTCTTAAGGATATCTTTCTTTCTTTTTTTAAAATATATTTTATTGATTTTTTACAGAGAGGAAGGGAGAGGGATAGAGAGTTAGAAACATCAATAAGAGAGAAACATCTATCAGCCGCCTCCTGCACACTCCCCATTGGGGATGTGCCCACAACCAAGGTACATGCCCTCAACCGGAATCGAACCTGGGACCTTTGAGTCCACAGGCCGACGCTCTATCCACTGAGCAAAACCGGCCAGGGCTCTTAAGGATATTTAAAAAAAATAATAACTTTATTGAGATACAGTTCACTTAACACAAGTCACCCTTTTAAAGAATACAACCTGCCCTAGCTGGTTTGGCTCAGTGGAAAGAGCGTCAGCCTGGGGACTGATGGGTCCCCGGTTTGATCCCGGTCAAGGGCATGTACCTTGATTGCAGGCTCAATCTCTGGCTCTGATCGGGGTGTGTGCAAAGGCAATCAACTGATATGTCTCTCTCACATCGATGTTTCTCCCTTCCATTCTCACTAAAAATCAATGGAAAATATCCTCGGGTGAGGATTAACAACAAAAAGTGTACAACTTACTGGTATTTAGTGCATTCGCAATGTTGTGCAGCCATGATCTCTAATTCCAGAACATTTCTATCACCCCAAAGGAGACTCCTCATTAGTAGTCACTCCCTCATTGCCCCTCCCTAACACCTGGCAATTCGTTTTCTCTTTCTATGGATTCGTTTGTTCTGGACATTTCATATAAATGGGATCATACACCATGTGGCCTTTTGTGTCTGGCTTCTTTACTCATAATGCTTTTAAGGTTCATCCAGGTTGTAGCATATGTCAGTGCTTCATTCCTTTTTATGGCCAAATAATACTCTGTTAGACACGTTTTGTTTGTTTATTCATCTTTCAATGGACACCTGGGTTTTTTCCACCTCTTGGTGTAATTGTGCTGCCATGAACATTTGTGTCCAAGGATTTGCGTAGACATGGATTTTCAGTTCTCTTTAAACATATACCAAGGAGTGGAAGTGCTGAGCCACATGGTAATTCTGTGATTAACTTTTGAAAAACCACTATACTCTTTCTCAGTGACTGCACCATTTTACATTCCGACCAGCAGTGTACAGAAGTTCCAGTTTTCTACATCCTCATCAACACTTACTTTCCGATGTTGTTGTTTTAGTCTAACTATCCTAGTGGGTGTGAAGTTGTATCTCATGTGACTTTGATTTGCATTTCCCTGATGAAGAACGGTGTTGAGCACCTTCTCATGTGCCTATTGGCCATTTGTATGTCTTCTTTGGAGAGATGTCGATACAAGTCCTTTGTCTTTCTGAAGATACTAAGTCTGGTGTTTTATTTTTTTTAATTAAATCTTTATTGTTGAAAGTATTACATAGGTCCCCCTTCCCCGGCCCCCAATGGGCTTTTCTAGCCCGCCCCAGGCTCTGATCCATTCTTAGTCTTCTTTTCTGAAATCTCTTCCCCTGTCCTTTTTAAAAATAGGTGTTCTCCACCTCTTCTTTGATTATCTCATTTATTTTTATGTTTTTAATATCACCTCTACATAACTTTTATATCTATATCCCTAGCCTTGACTTTCTTTCTAAGTCTACACTTTCACCTTCCCATCTTGCTTGTAGCCAGCCATGGTCATTATGGACAATTTCAATGCAGCTCCTGCTGCCAAGTCTGGTGTTTTTGTTGTTGAGTTAAAGTTTTCATCCCGTAACAGTCCTTCCTTTCGAATGAATTTTTCTGTCTATTTTGGAGCCTGACATTTGTTGCCTAAAAGCCCCACATTCCTCGGGACTTTCCTCTGGGCGGCTCTGACTCCTCTGGAGGCTTCTGTTTCCTCCTCTCCCAGGGCCACACGTCCGTCCCTCCTGTCGTCCAGGTGTGGCCCAAGAGCTTCCCAACGCCCGGAGAAGGCCCCAGCTCCTTCTCTCCTGGACATGCTGTGGGCTCTGCAGCAGACCAGGTCCCAGAGCGGGCCTGCGCAGGAACAGCCGGGTGGGAGCGCCTCCTCTGGGGTCCCTGAGGCTACAACCCCTCGGCCGCAGGATCCTGTGGCCTGGGACTTGGTTTTCTTGGATCCTATATTTCTGCTTTAGTATTAATATTGTTATTCTCTTGTTCCCTTTCCTCTTCATGACTTTTTAGTGGGGAACTTGAAAGAGAGTGCAAGAAATGCCTGTCCTTGGTTTTTGATCTTTAACCAGAGCTCTGGTGGCTTCCCTGTGGCTGGACAGCAAGCCTGCCCCTCCTTAACCACAGGGATCGTGTTGCCTAGTGAGCGCCTGCATGTTTTGGGCACCTTTCCTGTGGCTCTCCTTGCATTTTGGGCCTCAGGCAGGGGATAGCAGCAGTGGTTTGGAGTGTGGCCATTGGTCAGGGAGTCAGGTTTGCTTGTAACTGGTTGGAGCAGCACAGACGTGGTCCTTGAACCCCTGGACCTCAGTCTCCCTGCAGGGCTGGAGGAGGGCCCTCAGCACCACACACAGCACCAGGGTCACCATCAAGCTTTGGGGTGTCTGTCTCTTTTATCCCTGGCTGCATTGTTTTGCTCAGGTCCAGGTTGGCCAGTAGCCACCCCTGTCATCCATAAGGAGGTGCTGTGGCCTGTGCTCCCAGGTGCTGAATCCAGGAGGCCTTCCTGTCTCAGACCAGGGCGTCGCAGTTCTCTTCTGTATTCTCTAAAGTTCTGCAGTGAGCGTCATTATTAGGGTAAACAGTTGAGTGGCCAGCACCCCAGTATCCCAGCTTCCATGGGTAAACAGTACAGACCTGGAGAGTTTGGTCAGTTTTATATGGTAACAGGAGTCTAGATGAGTGGGTGATCAATTGATCCTTCTCTGGGCACAGGACACCCAGTGGGGCAGTCCTCTGGGCAGTGAGGCCACAACCGATGGGCAGCTATGGATAAAACTAGGATGGGATGTACTCCGGCAGCTCTGCCCACCAGGCCTGACGTACCTGTTACGCTCACCCTCCTCTGGTTCAGGGCAGCAGCCCTTCCCCATATCACTCGGCAAAGGTGGAAGTGTGGTGTCAGTGCAGAGACAGGTGGGCCTGGGTGTGCCCCGTGGGTACTGCTGCAAGCCACCACCCTCCCTGATTCTCCTTCGCAGAAAGCTGTGCCAGCCACAGAGTGCAGGTGGCCTCCCTGGAGACCCTGCTGCCGCCAGCCCTCCGAGAGAGCACGGGAGCTCAGTCTCACCCCCCCAGGTAGGAGCAGTGGGCGTGGGTATGACAGCATGGAGATACTGATGCTTGTGGAGGAGGGAGCGTGGGTCTCAGCCAGAGCCCGTGGGCCTGACCCAGTCTTGGTGTTTGGGGAGCCTGTTGAGCTCTTGGCTCAAGGCTGGGACGTTTTCTTCAACGAATGAGCAGCTGTCTGGCTTCCCCAGGCGGGAGGCCTGGGCCCGGGACCTGGGTGTGCTTTCCTTGGACACCTTCCAGTAGGGTGGCCAAGGGAGGACGAGCACTGGACTGCCCTGAGCCTCGTGTTCTGTTGCCTCTCAGGCCTGTCATGAGTAAAATCCTGTGTGCTGGCTGCAGGACGGAATGGCACCCAGTGGGGGCCCTGTGAGCAGTGGCTGCTGCCATCTTAGCCAGTAGCCAGTGGTCAGGAAGGGCGGCAGGGGCTGGATGGGGGCAGCGCTCACCTGGCTCTGACTGGGGTTCTTTGGCTGTACCCCTTTCATCATGGCTTGAGCTTTTTGGTAAAAATTATCCCCACCCACCTTTGTGCTCTGACTTGTGAGTCCCACATTCGGGCCCTCTCCTCCCCTCCTCCTCTCTCTCCTCTTCACCCGCCTCCTCTTCCCTCTCTCCCTCATCTCCTCCTCCTCCTGGAGCACTCAACACACATGGAAAAGCCAGGTCCACGCGCACCCCAGCTGTGAGGCCTCGTTTCACTCATGACTACCCCCTGCCCTAGGCCTGCCATCTGCAGTCTCTCTTTAGCTGTTTCCCTGGGTCAGGGCCACCTGGTCCAGTGCTGGCTCCCCTTCTGTGCTCTGGCCTTGCCTCACATACCTCAGTCTAATCATCTGTGAAATGGGGATGAGACCTGGACCATGTGTCAATGGGCTGCCATGAGATCGAAGTAGTCAGGGGTTTGGGGTGATGGGTCTCAGCCAGTGGGGCTGCCCTGTGTCCCTCAGATTTGGCTTGTCACCATTCCTGTCATCTGGGGAAGAGGCTGAACACAGCGACATTTTAGTCCAGTCTCTGGAGGTGGTTGGGCCAGTGCTCTGGTGACCTAGCTGCCCTTCCTTCCTCTGCATGTGTCCTTGGGGTGGGCACCAAGGCCTGACTGGTCTCTGGGCGCCCCTGTGTGGCTGGAGTAGGCCTTGCAGGTGGGCACTGCTGCTCGCTTAGCTCAGGTTGGCCTGTTGCTGCCAAGCCTGAGGGATGCCAGCCGCTCCAGACACAGGCTCCCCTCTAAAATGATCTCCCTCTCTTCCCAGAAACGTCCTCAGCCTCCTGATTTCATTGACCCCCTGGCTAACAAGAAACCAAGGATATCGCACTTCACCCAGAGAGCTCAGCCCGCCGCCAATGGGAAGCTGAATGTGCCCCATGGTCGGGAGGCCCTACTGCCCACCCTTGGCCCACTGGCGGGCACAGATGCCCACCTACCCCCACGGCTGGATCCTCCGAGGGCACACGACCCTCTGGCTGATGTCAGCAATGACCTGGGCCACAGTGGCCGGGACTGTGATCACGGGGAAATGGCCACCCCAGCCCCCACTTCCTGCCTTAGCCTTCCCCTGCTGAAGGACTGTGCCCAGCCCAGCAGGCCCCACGGTGGCTCATCTCGCGGCAAGTCCAAGAAGAAGTCCAAGAAGCACAAGGACAAGGATAGGGCAGCTGGGGACAGGCATCGAGCCAGGCCGCCAGAACTTGTGTCCGGCTCCCTTGGAGCCCCGCCAGTCAACCTGGGTAGGTGCTGAAAAGCAGACCTGGGGCAGGGGCTCTGCAGGAGGTGACTGCCAGGAGCCTGAGCACCAGCTCCACATACTGCCAAGGGGGCCACAATGCCCCGTGCACCCCATGTTGGCTCACTCTGCACATGCAGCCCCTTTGTACCCTGTGTTCTCACACCGGGCATCACTGAATGACCCGGAGGTCTTGGCCCCAGAGCCTTCTGCAATCCTTTATGAGCCAGGCCAGTACGGGGGCTAGAGACACAGATCCAGCCAAGCTGAGGCTCACAGGAGGAGCAATGCATGGGGACAGGAACAAGTTCCAGGCACAGACACTGAGAGGGGTCAGGGCAGGTTAGGGGCCTTCTGCGTTGAGGGAAAGCCATGGGGATGGCCTGGCAGGAGCAGGGCAGTACCTGGGCTGCTGTGGGCCTCGTGTAGCCTGGCAATCTGTGGAGAGAGGGTTTGGGAGGTTCACAGAACAGTGGGCAACAAGAGCCAGGTCACACAGCCAGCTGGATGTTGAGAAATCTGGGGTCTCAGCAGCAGGATGAGGGAGGGTACAGGCCTGTCTGGGCTGTATGCTGAGCAGGAAAACCTCTGTGGGGCCCAGGGACACTGGGGAGGCATGTGGACTGGCAGCAGAGCCTGGGCCACCCTGAGTTCACAGCCCCAGGCACCTGAGCTGAGCACCCTGTGTGGCTGTGAACTTGATCAGTATGAGGCAAAAACAATCACAGCTTTCCCCCCCCCCCCCCCCCCACACACACACACACAGACAGTCCCAGGCTTGCCACCTGCTGTGGCTCTGGGATCATTTCCCCAGGCAGGGTCCCAATAGGGGCATTCCTGGGGTAGCAAAGCCGTTTTTTCCTTCAGGTTTTTAAAAGAGTTATTTGACTGCCCTCCAGAAATTCTGCTACAGTCCCTCCCTGTGGCTGGAGGGCAAGTCCTAGCAGACACAGGGTCAGACCTCTGGGTTCCTCTTGGCCCTGCTGTGCCACTGGGCTTCCCACCATCTGGGTAGACAGACTGAGAGAAAGTGGCCTGATCTCCTGCGTGCCCTTCTGATCCCATCTTGGCCAGGGAGACAGGCCCTCAGCAGCCTGGTCCTCCCAAATGGTAGAAGCAAGACCCTTGTGCCTCTGGCAGGGCCCTGGGAAGGAGGAAGAATGGGGCCAGAAAGTTGCAGCCCAGGCTGGCCCCACACACACATGGGGCTCAGATCTTGCCTGTTGTGAGTTGGCCAGGCAGCTCGTACCCAGTCCCCAGGCTGAGGAAGAAAGTCAGGTTTAGAATCAGGCAAACCGGGGAGTAGATGCCCCCAGGAAGAGGAAAGGGGTGGCTGAGCACCAGAAGCTGTGCCTGGCATTGATGATCATCTTGACCTGCATCTTGCAGGTGGCTCAAGTGATAACAATAATGGACGGGCTCAGAGCCCCCCACTGCCCACCCAGAGCCCTCTTCACCCTGTGCCGCTCTGGGTGCGGGATGTGCTGTGCATGTGCAGGCAAGCATACTTCCCTTAACAGTGGCATTGTTCTCTGGCACCAGGCCCCTCCCCAAACTCTGGAAAGAATCCAGGCCAGCACCTGAGGAAGCTTCCTGCATTGATTTAACCCACTCTTATGCATGGCACTGACCCCTAGTCTGGCCCCGTTGTCCCAGCCCCACCTAATGATTACCTCTGACCTGATAGGTGCGACTGCCTCCACCTGTCAGGCAAGTGGCTCTGTTCACCCAGCCCTAGCCTATGGCCCCCATTCGTCCCAGAGCTACTCTCTGGCCACCCTCATCATCACCCTGTGCTAAGGCCACTCCTGGGACCTGTGCCCACCCCCAAACTGAGCATCAGGCCATGGACCACTCCTGTGGCTTCAGGGTGGCTTTCTGGGCCAGCCAGTGTGCTGGGTGGGTGGCTTGGGCTTAGCTCAGGCCCGCTGACTCCTGTGGGCAGGGTGGAAGCCCTTTTTCTAGGGTCTGCAGTGTGAACTCATGGACATAGCCCCTTGACCCTGTCCCTGGGAGGCACAGGAGAAGCTACGGAGTGATGGGGGTCAAGAAAGGGGACAGATGGGGGTGAGGGTAGAGGAGCAGCTGTGGGGGTTGTTGCCAGTGAAACTGAGGCTCCATGGCAGGAATCACCTCATCTGTTACAAGGGAGGCCTAGTACTTCAGCAGGAGTTAGAGCCACAGGCAGGATCCCAAAGGTGTTCAAGCCTCAATGGAGAACATCCCTAGAGGCCTGCCTTATGCTGGGCATGGGTCCTGGGAACGTGGACTAAACCCTCACATATATGTTCATCAGGCTTCGGTCTAGGGAGAGCATAGCCTCATCCTATATAATAAAAGGCTAATACGCAAATTGTCCCCATTCGGGAGTTCGACCAGGGGATGGCTTGATAGGCCCTGATTGAGGCAGGCCAGCTGGACCCCACCCACGCACAAATTCATGCACTGGGCCTCTAGTTAAAAATAACATTCTCAGGTGCAGGTGGGGGTGTACTGCAGGGTGGCCTCGTGCCCAGATGCCTACCATCTAAGTGTGAAACCAAGAGAGGGCTTGGCAAACTGCTTTCCTCTCGCAAAGTGATAAAACCTCTTCATCTCAAAAAAACGGGGGAGTAGATACACTAGATTGTAGTTTCAGTTGACTATGGTCCAGGCAGGCCTTGTTCCCTTGTCCTCAGTCCCCACCACGAGGACAACCTAGGGTGTTCCCCTTCATGACTCCAGCCCAGCCCTGTACTGGGGCTGCCCTTCGGGTCCCAAAGTCCGTCGTCTGGTAGGAAGAATGGGAGCATCATGTGAAGCTCAGACCACGGTCAGCAGAGAGATGTGCAGGCAGGTTCATGGTTTCCCTGGGGGCCATCTTTCTTTCTCCTTTATGGCTGGAGACTAAACACCCCAGGGACTTGGTTGCTCTGCACTTACACAGCTGTGGTTGAGAACATACATGCCCACATGATGGAAGGGCAGAGGTTCTGGGTCCAGCAGGGTCCTGCAGTCTCTCACTGCCTCTCTGCCGTCCCTTCCATGTCCTTCAGGCAACGAAGCCTGAACCTTTTGCAGATCTTGTTTGCTCTTTGTAGGTTTAAATGGGACCTGCAACAGCTCAAGCGTCCCCACGTCAACTTCAGAGACACCAGACTACTTGCTGTGAGTACTTCCTTTCGGCTGCCGCTCCTCTTCTCCCTGGAGTTTCACCCCTGCCTTCCCCTCCTCACCCTGCCCTGCAGCTCAGCAGTGGCAGGACTAAGTCCAAGTCCCTGGGTGCCAGTTCCATCCCCTCGGCTTGTGCTAGGCCAGGCTCCTGCTTGGGTGAGGCTCTTCCTGGGTGTGGCTGGCTATGCAGCCACAGGCACTCCGGCCTCTCTACAGCAGCCCCTGAGCCCCACCGTTCTCTCCCTTTTCCAGAAAATATGCCACTATCTCCTCCTCAGAGCAGCGCCAGAGCTACAAGAACGACTTCAACGCCGAGTACAGTGAGTACCGAGACCTGCACGCCCGCATTGAGCAGATCACACGGCGGTTCACGCAGCTGGACGCCCAGCTCCGGCAGCTCTCCCAGGGCTCCGAGGAGTACGAGGTAGAGCTCCCTGCCCGCACCCTACCCTGGGGAGATGTGTCTGTTTCTCTCAGTCCAGCTAAGCCCACGGCCCCCAAACCTATCTGCTGCCCTCCTTGGTGGGGAGGGGCTGAGCCAGCATTTTGACCCCTCATGGACTGACAGGTGGCCGTCCCTTGCTGGTCAGTTGGTTCAGGCCTGGGTCTGGGCTCTGCCATGGGAACCAGAAGGCTCTCAGCCTAGTTGGCCTCCCCTGCAGTGGGGACATTGGCATCAACTCTGCAGGTGGAACATGAGCCCTGGAGGCAGGGATGCTACTTAGAGCAGCCAGGAAGGCCACGCCAGGGAGCATTGAGTTGCAGCACCTGTGTCCTGCCTGTGAGAGTGTCTGAGATCCTCTCTGCAGTCCACTACCCACAATTCGGGACACCCTGGCCAGGAGGAGAAAGGCCAGGCCACACTGCACCACATGGCCCATCTGCACCGTCAGAGCCACAGTGGGAAGTGGGAGGGGATGGAGTGTGCCTGTGGTCTTTCACCTGTACTTATGGCAGGGCACATGGTCTCCCTTAGCCCCATGTGGGAGCTCCCTGCAGTGGGAGGGTCTTGGTCTCCAGCCCTAGAACACCAGCCTCCCTTTTGAGCCACCTTTTAGAGCTTGTCACCTGACTACAGGGCCAACCCTAATTAATCGGGGGTCAGGGTCTGTCTCCATTGGCCAGGCCTCTTTGGTTTCCAGAGGAGGTGGCTCTTGATTGGAAGAGCGATGGGGACCCTGAGGGTCTGGGACAGATGAGGCCTCAGGATATAGCAATCCTCCTTCCTTCTTGCTCCTATGTGGACATGCCCCAGCATCTCCCTGCATCCCCAGGTGGTCAGGGGCCTCTGTGCTTAGCCTTGAACAGTGGACAGGCCAGCTGAGGTGCAAGGGAAGGAGGGTATCACCCTGCTCTTTGCCCCCTCCCACTTGCTGCCTTGTCCCTGAGGCTGGGCCCCTGCACCTTGCCCCCTGGTCCTGCTTCCTTCCCCCAGCCTCTCCTTCCTCTGTACTTAGGTCAGCTCTCCTCAGGGCCACCTGGAGGCTATTGTCCCCAGGCCAGTGGTGACATGCAGGTCATGGGTTATCAGGGAGGCACCTCGCCCCCCTCACTTGGAGCTTCCTGCAGGTGAGGTCATTGTTTTCTTTTGTTTTCCTGTAGACTACTCGTGGGCAGATTTTACAGGAATATCGCAAAATCAAAAAGGTAAATGTCCACCCCATGGTGGGGGTGGGGGGTGGGGAGCAGCCTCTCTCCGTGTACTGCAGCGCCCTCCCGCTCTCCCACTGCTTGGTGAAGCAGCCCCTAAAGGCAAGGAGAGGAGGCAAAGTTCCCAGCTTCAGCTGCTAATTGGGCTCGGGGCCCTCTCCTTGGGATCCCTGGAGATATGTGAGGTAGCTCCTTGCCCATGCCTGGCCAGGGTGATACCAGCTTTTATTCCTGAAGGCCACTAGCTGTGGGATCACCATGTGTGTGCTCTGCATGCCAGCTGGTTCCTTGCCAGCCAGGCCCTAGCGCAGCCAGGTTTCTGCTGATCTTGCCTCTGACCCGCATCCTGGCCACAATCCCATTTCCCAGGGTAGGGCCTGGGGCTGGGGAGGGAAGCCAGCCGAGGGCTCTGGCCCCAGGTGGAGCAGGGGTCCCTGTCATTGCCCAGTGGGCACTGGCCTGTAAGCAGGAGCAGTGGCAGCCTGAGGTGACAGGTAGACTAGCATCTTCACACAGGACAGCTCCCATGGCAGCCATGCTTCAGAATGCCAGTGGCTGCAGGATTGGCTCACCCTGCTGCTCTTTGCAGACCAATACCAACTACAGCCAGGAGAAGCACCGGTGTGAGTACCTGCACAGCAAGCTGGCCCACATCAAGAGGCTCATTGCGGAGTATGACCAACGGCAGCTGCAGCCTTGGCCCTAGCCCCAGCCATAGGGCAGGAGCTTGCCCTCCCTGGATTGACCCTTCTGGATGGCAAGGGAGCTGGGGCTTTGGGGGTGGGGAGAGCTAAAAAAAGGGGAAAATTTTTATTTAACAAAATAAACACGAGGAAGACACGTTTATCTGAGCCAGCAACGCCGGCTTTCAGGGGAGGCCCTGCAGATCTGGCATCCGCAGGGCACAGATCCAGGTGGGGTGTCCCGATCCCTGAGCCCCATACCTCCAGAGCAACCCCCATCCAGGACAAGCTCCTCCGGAAGCCCACCTCTTCGCTGACTACAGCCCAAGGGGCTTCAGCTTCCTCTCACCAGAAGACTTGGCTGGCCTGCCTGCCTTTTCTAGTTTTATACAAAGACAGCCACTTTTAGCTACTGCTCATGAGACTTGAGTCTATTTTTGTATGAAAGAGAAAGCATCTTTTTTCTAAACCTGTGCCTCCCCTCCTTGGACGCCCAGAGTCTAGACGCTGCCCTGTGTCCTTTCTGCAGTATTACAGATGCCATTGGAAAGTTGGGCAGGGGATCGGCCTTGGTCACCTCTCCCATGCTGGGCTCTGGCTGAGTGCCTGGCCAGGCTCTCCAGGCCCAAGCAAGGGTGGGCTCTCTCTAAGGGGGTGTGCAGGGCAGGTCAACCCCCAGGTCTATTTTGAGATCTCCAGCTGGTCCCCAGAGCAGCTGCTGGAGCCCCTGTCCTGTCCTCTATTTCAGGCCCTCAGCTGTTGGGGCACTAGGGTTCTCTGTGCTACAAGCTCATCATGCAGCAACAGTGCTGGACTTTATTCCATGTTCTCAATTTCCCCTTTGCTGCTGCTTTTTATGTTGTACTGTTGAGACCTCACTCCATTCCTCAGTCCCCTTGTGGGTCCTGGGGTGGTCTTACCATGGGGTATGCACTCAGGGAGGGGCTGGGGGTTGGTGAGGTCAGGGGGCCTCCGAGAGTGAGCACAGGCTGTATGGATACCCCAATTGCTGCTTAGTCACTGTGCCTAGTATAGTGTCCTCCAGAGCATCGGGGAGCTGTGTGCGCGTGTGCGCGCGCGCGCGTGTAGCCCCGGGCACCAGGGCGTGGTGGGGTCTGAGGTTTGTACATAAGATTCAGAGCCACCTTCAGTGGGGTGGCACACGGCTGTGACCCACACCCCCACAGGGAAAGCGGCAGTGCTCACAAGCATAGCTGTGTATAAGCTGTGGGGTGTCTCCTGATGTTTCCCAAAGAGCAGGTCCCTGGTGAACACCTGCACTGTGCCCACCCAACAGTCCCTTCCACGGGCCCCTGGGTGTCAGCACCAAGGAAGCTCATCCTTCATGTTTTACTAGCTGTTATGTTATTTTTCATTTGGGACATAGTGGGCGAAGAGCTGAGCAGACCCTGGAGCCCACGTTGTGCAGACAGCTGTGTGTGTGGACAGGCAGTCTGGTGACAAGGGATGTTTAAGGAGGCCCAGCCCTCTGCCCTGGGAACCTGGTCAAAGGACTCTCCATTGACTTTTCTTTTTGTTGTTGTTTTTCTTCCTTTTAAGGAATTATGAAGCTAAGAAAAGTTTTGTGCTTTGGGGGTTGATGGACAAAAGTTCTAGCTGATTAAATATGGTCTTAACTTATTGATACTGTTATTTCTTTTTAATATTGTACTGTGGAGGAAAACTATTTGAGCCATGGAGTTGGTGTTTACAAGAACTTTTCACTTTTGCCAAAATGTTACAATTGAAAAGCACCCACGTCTTCAGTTTCCTAATATTTTCTTAAAGATCTAGTGTCCTTTTTGTACACTAAACAGGTGAATGCTGATTTTTCAACCTACAATAAATTTCACTGAACTGAGTCTAGCAGCCCAGGCTGCATAAGTGTTGGTGTGTCTGTCACAGCCAGGTGGCCCTGATCCTGTGTGGAGCTGGGCTGGGATCAGGCGATGGTGATGGGGTAGAGAAGGCATTCTAGACAGCCTGCCTGAGCCGCTGCCAGCAGGTGAGCCTGGCCTGAGGCAGTGGGCCCTCCAGGTGCCAGGGCAGGAGGCTAAGACCGCCTGGTCACAGGTAAGAGAAGCGGGAGAAGCTGGGAAGGCAGAGGCCCTGGGCAGCCACAGCAGGTGTCTGAGTCGGGCATTGCCCTCCCTGCAACTGCAGTCTGGATGGGGTGGGCCGAGTCAAGCAGGGGGTCCCCCAGGCTCCAGCAGCACCATATGGGGTAAGTGGAGCATTTGGGGAAACAACTTGTGATGGATGAAAACAGTGGTGAGTAACTTTATTGTTAGTTCCTCCTAGGCTGGCACTCGGGGGTACTCCCTGTGCCGCCAGTGAGGACAGCGATGCTGAGGTCCATTGGAGCCCCACAGGCCCAGGACAACAGTGGGATGCCATCCTTGACCCATTTTCCAGGTGAGCCAAAGACAGAGGTCCTGGACTCCAAGGACACAGTGGGGGTCGGAGGGGGCGTTTATTTTGGGAGAGAAAAACAGATAAAGAGTAAGACCAGGATTAATGTCCAGGGGTCAGGGATGTAGGCCTCAGCCTCCCTGGTGGCTCCCTGGCCAGCGACCTTGGCCTGAGTTCTGAGGAGGCTCAGGAATCCGAGGGGTGTGGAAGGCGAGGTCAGGTGGGCCCGGCAGGGCAGAGTATACCCTCTCCCCACTGGTCTGGCTGCCACATTCTTCCAGGGGAGAACATTGTTGTCCCTGTCTCCACACCCCAAGGCCCAGTCTGACACCTGCCTCTGGTCCTGTCCTGTCCTGTCACACCTGCCCACCCCCCCCCCTCTGCCAACCTTGCCCATAGCACCCCACATTGCCCGGTGCCACCCTGGCCATCACCTCTTTAGTGTGCTGCAGCCTCAGGCAGTTGGTTCCCTGACCATCCTTCCTAACTAAGGACACCATGAGTCCAGTCCCTCCCACCCGCCGGGTGAGACTATATCATGGCTGAAGGGCTTGATGCTCCCCACCCCCTCTTGCCACTTACTGGATAACATTCCTGATTGTCCTCCCACCAGCACCCAGATCCCACAGCCCCTCCTGTGTACCAGGCTCCCCTAGGCACTGGCACTCAGCAGTAATCAAGATAGCTCTGTCCTTGCCCTCAGGAGACTGGTCTCTGGTGTAGACAGTGGTCTGGTCTGGTCCCCAGTTGCTCACCACCTTGCCTCCAGGCAGCACTCACCTGGTGTTGCATACCCAGCAATCCTTGCAGTCTTATTAGTGAGGAATAGTCCCAACTGTTTCCAGCTAACCCCAGCACTGCCCCTCCATGGAGCCCGCCTGGGCCTGCTCTGCCCCACCAGCTTCCTACTGGCTAGGCTTCCCCAGGGCTGCATCTTGGGGCATTTCTCTTCTCTCTGCACAGTCCCATGACGTATCTGGCCTGGAGGTGCGAGCTCCCTCTGATCCTCTGACTCCAACTGGATGTCCAGTAGTTAATTTCTGGGGCTGGCATCACACCCACAGCTTAAGCTGCTCAGTCCCACAAGACTGCCCCCCACCCCACTTCAGACACCAGCCACCCATACTTCTGAACAACTGGCTGTAAATTGGGGTTTCAGACAACCCCTCGTAGGTTTGGCAATTTTCTAGAATGGCTCACAGTGTTCAGAAAACCACTTCCAACAGTCAAAGGGAGGAGATGCAAAGGGCAAGGTATGGAGACTAGCACAGGGCTTCCCTGCCCGCTTTGTGTGCCACCTCCCCAGCACCTCATGTTTTCACCCAGACTCCGCTGTTTAGGGGGTTTATGGATGCTGCATTACACAAGTATGATTGAGGGAATCACTGGCCACTGATCAAACTCAAGCTTTGCCTAGGAACCGGGACAAAACCCAAACACTTACACCATATTCTCTGTCCCCAGCCCTGAGGTCTGCCTTGGTTCCCCACACCACCTTCCTTCCCCTCCCCAGCCGCCTTTTCATCTGCTCCTGAATGCACTCCCCCAGGTTTTTGTCTGGGCAGCTCTTCACATCTCTTGATAAGAGATGTCTTCAGATCTGAAGACCCCTCCTAGCAGCCACCTCCCACAGGCAGCCTGCCCTGACCAGCCCTCCCTCCAAGTTCCCTCCAGCTGGGGATGCTCTAGTCCAGCGGTCATCAACCTTTCGGACCTCACGGATCACCAGTGGTCCACAGACCACCGGTTGGCGACTGCTGCTATAGTCCATTACCAACTTCCCCACACGGGGGGCCCTTTGAGAGCAAAGCCTGGGGCCAGTCTTAGAGCCCTACCCCCCCATCCCCACAAGATCAGGCCCTGACCATGTTTCCTGCGAATGTTCCCAGCTATTCACCTTTTGGGCCAACTCCAGTGGTGGAAACTTTTCAGCCAGAGGAGGCTGCTTGTTTTGGAAAGTTCCTGGGGGAGCAACCCCCGCCTGCCCACCAGGTTCCCACGCTCCCTTATCACACGGTGCTAGCAGGATGCAGTGGTGTGCAAGCCTAGCTCCTCCCCAGCTGGCTGACTGGGTCCTTCCCATTCCCTTTTCTCCCATACCCACCCAACAGCCACCCTCCCCAGCCTGGCCCTGCCAAGTCCTGCTACAGCTGGGGAACCAGAACCGTGGTGTCCCAGGACCCCCATCCCCACTCCCCGTGAGCCCTGTCAGAGGTCCTGGTGCTTGGCTATTACTGAGGAAGGAAGGGGAGGCAGCCTGGGCTGGAAGAGTGTCTGACTTTGAGGTACAGTCCTAGCTCAGTCTTCTGCCTCAGTTTTCCCAGTAGTATCTCGGACCCAGGGACACCCACCCTCATAGGCCCAGCAACCCTGTCTTGTAACTGGTGCCTGGTGCTCCCTGCAGCCTTAATGTCCTCTTTTGTGAAATGGAGCTAAGAGGCTGGGCTCCCTAACAGGCTGTGGTGAGAAGTGAATCCACGCACCCCGTGCTGGGGCCGGGGTCTATAGCCCACGTTAATGCCCGCCAGCGCCTGGCGGGGCGGACGAATGATAGCCTCCTGGGCCGTGCGCTGTAGGGCCTCGAACCCGAGTCCAAGGCCACTGCCGGCTCTCCCCCACCCCCTCCCCAGCGCGGGAGGAGCGAGAGGCGGGGTGAGGGCGGGGCCTCGGCTCTTTTCTTTAGAGTTCGAGCGCCCTGAGCGCACCGCCTGTCTGAACCGACTCTGCGCCGGTGAGTGGGGCTCTAGATGGGGTGCGGGTCCAGGGAATCAACAGACTGCGCTGGTGAGTGGGGCCCCTGGTGGGTACGGGTCCAGTTAGAGCGTGGTACCCACACGCCAAGGTTGCGGGTCCCTGCCGGGGCCCACACAAGAACCAATCAGTGAATGCGTAAGTGGAACAACAAATCGATGTTTCTCTCGCTCCCTTCCTCTCTCTCTCAAATCAATAATATGAAAATAAAGTCCGCTCGGCTTGTTCTCGTGTTCCCGCTGACTTCCTGCCAACCCCCTGCCCCCAGCTCGCTGCGATGGAGGCTGCAGCACAGTTTGTGGTCGAGAGCCCCGACGTGGTCTACAGCCCCGAGGCCATCGAGGCGCACTACGAGTACCGGACGACAAGCGTCAGCCGCGAGGATGGCGTCCTCAAGGTGGGCTGGGGACAGGGAAGCCGGGGGCTAGGGGACCCAGAGAGCCAGGAGGGGTGGGATGGCCCAACGTCTGCGGCTCTGGGCTCACTGCACTGCCCGCCCGCAGGTACACCCCTCAACCACGCGCTTCACCTTCCGGACCGCCCGGCAGGTGCCCCGGCTCGGGGTCATGCTGGTCGGCTGGGGCGGCAACAACGGCTCCACGCTCACCGCTGCCGTGCTGGCCAATCGGCTGCGCCTGTCCTGGCCCACCCGCACGGGTCGTAAGGTGGGGGTCGAATTGGGTGCTGCGGGAGCTAGGTCTCCGCTGGAGTCCAAGCAGGAGATTGGCTCTGAGAGGATGGGTCCACGGGGAGGGGCTTCCACGGGGGCGGGACTCCAAGGAGCGGAGCCTAAGGTGGTGGCTGGCCCTGGAAAGGTACCTCCAGAGGGCGGGTAGCTTCCGCCCTAGCTTGCTCACACCACGCCTACCACTGTGTTCCCACCCCCAACCCTCCACCGCTGCCCCCAGGAGGCCAACTACTACGGCTCGCTGACGCAAGCAGGCACCGTTAGCCTGGGCCTAGACGCCGAAGGCAAAGAGGTGTTCGTGCCCTTCCACGCGCTGCTGCCTATGGTGTCGCCGGACGACCTGGTGTTCGATGGTGGGCGGGGCCCTGGGCCGGGCTTCGGGTGGGAGGCGGGGCCTGGAGGGGCCCAGCGGTAGGACCTGGATGAGCCTGAGGGTCGCCCCCAGGCTGGGACATATCTTCGCTGAATCTGGCCGAGGCCATGCGGCGCGCGAAGGTGCTAGATTGGGGGCTGCAGGAACAGCTGTGGCCGCACATGGAGACCCTGCGCCCAAGGCCCTCCGTCTACATCCCAGAGTTCATCGCAGCTAACCAGAGCGCGCGTGCGGACAACCTCATCCCTGGCACGCGCGCGCAGCAGGTGCAGCACTTGCTCCCACTACCATTTGCCCCTCCCCCTGCCACCTGTTTCCCATTCACCCCACGTTGTCCTCCTTTTGTCCCCCTGCCCCCATCCCGAGGGTCCCGGCTCTCTTTGCACTTGGGGAGGTTAGTAGCCCAGGCCTCCACCGGGGATCTGTACTATCTTCCCCCGCTCCCTAGCTGGAGCAGATCCGAAGGGACATCCGCGACTTCCGGTCCAGCGCGGGGCTGGACAAAGTCATTGTGCTGTGGACAGCAAACACGGAGCGCTTCTGCGAACTGGTCCCAGGCCTCAATGACACCGCAGAAAACCTGCTGCGTACCATTCAGGTGGGTGCACCCAGAGTGGAGCATGGTCAGGGCCAGCCCCAAGGATCCCTCCACTGACTGTCTGTCTTCCTGTGCCCACAGCTAGGTCTGGAGGTGTCACCCTCCACACTCTTCGCTGTGGCCAGCATCTTGGAGGGCTGTGCCTTCCTCAATGGGTCCCCACAGAACACTCTGGTGCCCGGCGCACTCGAGCTCGCCTGGCAGCGCCGTGTGTTTGTGGGCGGAGATGACTTCAAGTCAGGCCAGACCAAGGTCAAGTCTGTGCTGGTTGACTTCCTTATCAGCTCCGGCCTCAAGGTGGGTAGGCCTGGGGGGGACCTGGTTCAGGGGGTGGGGTCTAATCCTGAGCTTCAGGCTCCTGAATTGCTCTTCCAGTGTGGGGTCTGCAGCATCCTCATGGTCCTTTGTTCTTGCAGCCCATGTCCATCGTGAGCTACAACCACCTGGGCAACAATGACGGGCAGAACCTGTCAGCGCCGCCGCAGTTCCGCTCCAAGGAGGTGTCCAAGAGCAGTGTGGTAGACGACATGGTGCAGAGCAACCCGGTGCTCTATGCACCCGGCGAGGAGCCTGACCACTGCGTGTGTGGGGTGCAGGCGGTGGGGAGGGGGGGCACCTGGTGGAGGAGGGCAATCCATGTGACCCAGTTCCGCCCCCCAGGTGGTTATCAAATATGTGCCATATGTGGGCGACAGCAAACGCGCAATGGACGAGTACACGTCGGAGCTGATGCTGGGCGGCACCAACACGCTGGTGCTGCACAACACCTGCGAGGTGTGGAATGTGTGGGGACGGGAGTGAGGACCCCCCCCACCACCAGCCTACACCCACCCACCACCTGACCACCCACTGGCCCCACAGGACTCGCTTCTGGCCGCGCCCATCATGCTGGATCTGGTGCTGCTGACAGAACTGTGCCAGCGCGTGAGCTTCTGTACCGACTCAGACCTGGAACCGCAGGGCTTCCACCCGGTGCTGTCCCTGCTTGGCTTTCCTCTTCAAGGCACCACTGGCTCCACCAGGCAGCCCTGTGGTCAACTCACTCTTCCGACAGCGCAGCTGCATCGAGAACATCTTCAGGTGTGCCCCACCTGGGGGAGCCCATGGGGGGCGGGGGGGGGACCTTGGTCCTATGTTCATTCGGGGCCAGGCTGCTCACAGGGTCCTAAGGATCGGAGGCCCTGCTGAAGCCCCTCCATCCTCCAGGGCCTGCGTGGGGCTTCCGCCGCAGAACCACATGCTTCTGGAGCACAAGCTGGAACGCCCCAGCCTCAAGCACATGAGGCATGTGGCCAGTGCCTGCCTCGAGTCTTCCAAGAAAGAATTGGCACCGTCGGCCTCCAACAACTGTACTGGTGATGCCAACGGGCACTCGCAGGTTGAGGCACCTTGATGCACACCACCTGAGGCAGTGGCCATACAGCTCCCAGCAACTCCTACCCCTTTGCCCCTCTGCATCCACCCTTCCCGGCCTCCCAAAGACAATAAAGACATTGCCAGTATCAGCTACACCTGTGGGTCTTGGGGGACTTTGACCTAACCCTATCCATCCCCCAACTTTTCACCTGGTAAAGACTCTCAACTACCCTTCAAAACTTCTCCCAATCCTCAGGGACCTTCCAGAACCCCCCTGAAGGTGGGGCTGAAATCCCAGAGTGAAGGATGTGGCTACAAGCCACAATGAAGTAATCTTGAGACCAGATACCAAAAACCAAAACAAGTTACATTTATTGATGGGTGCTCACCCCTTACTGCCCAGGGGAAAGGAGGTCCAGAGGAGTCCCCCAGGACAAAGTAGAAACGGATGAGGGTGGGGGTCGAGCCCATACAGAAAAGAGCATCTCTGAGGTCCTTGCGTTTTTGTTTTTAATAAAATGAGTCCTTCATGCGGGGCCTCCAAGCCTTGACCAGGAGTCCAGCTGCCCGAGGTGTGACCTCAGACCCTCCCCCTGCAGACCACCCAAGCCCCTGGCCCTTGGCAGGGGCTCTGGGCAGAGGAGGCGGCCAGCACTGGGCAAGGGGCTGCTGCCCCATCACACGCTCATGGTCATCCCAGGCGAGTACTGCGGAGAGACGAGGGGTGGCGCGCAAGGGGGAGGGGGGGGCTCAGCTCCCGCCTAGGCTGGGACCCGCCCCCCAGGAAGAAGGGACAAATGGACTGGGTGGGGCACAGGTGGAGCGGGGTAAGGAGCAGGAGTCCACGTTAGGGAGGTGAGGCCACCCTGGGGCGTGGGTCACAGGGTGGGGGCAGGGTAGGCATGTGAGACCAGGGCAGGACGGGAAGGGGGAAGGGAAAGGATGCCGCGGCCGCCCCCCCACCTGGCCCGCCGCGGTCACGGTCTTGCTCTGGCCCCCCGGCCGCCCCGCCGGGGCCTGCCCGCCAGGCCCCTCCGGCCCGACGCCGCTGCAGGGGGGGAGTCGACGCAGTCGCTTACACTTTCGCTCGGGAATGGGTGCAGGAAAGTCCCGGTGGCCGCCATCTCGCCGTCATCCCGCGGGGTGCCGGGGGCAGTGCTCAGGCCGGCCACGGCGCCAGGGGAGCTCTGGGGGCAGCCGCAGTCAGCGCCAGACTCCAGTCCTGACCCCACCACCGCCGCCAGGTCCCCTGCGCGGCCGCCCCACACCCCAGCTATGCCTGAGCGTGGCCCCTCACCTTCGGCAACCCGTCCATGTCGCCTGAGCCTGTGGACGATAGACACAAGGGGACACAGGGCTCAGCGTCTGAGCCGGGGGTCCACGGACCTTTCCCTGAACTCCACCTCCCTGCCCCCGCCCCCCCCAGGCTACACCCAATCCCTCAGCTCAGCCCACTGGGGGTCTGGAAGGAGGGCCTGAAGGGGTGTCAGTGCTGGTAGCCAGGTGTCCCCACGGTTTAGTTACTGGACCCTCACCCAGTGCAGCCCAAGCACTGAGTCGCCCAGGAAGCTCAGGGCGCCACCTGATGCCCCTACAAGGAACACAGGTGGAGGAATGGGGGGGGGCACTCAGTGAGAGCATGAGGCTAGCAAGGCCGCCTGTGGGGGGTGGTTCCCAGGCGCTTACTCACCCAGAGATCCGTTCACGTGGTGAGGTTCCAGCGTGCTCATGGCTGCCATAGGGCCCTCCGGGCCTGGGCCCAGTGGGAACTGTGGCAGAGGGGTGGTGTGGGACTCTGGCCAGCTGCCACCAGAGCAGCCTCTACCCCACAACTCCGCACTTACGTTAGCCCTGCCCGCGCCTGGCCCCATGGGGTTCATGATGGTGTACATGTTCTCGCTGGAGTTGGTGGAGTCTGGGGAAGACGAGGCATGAAGGCCTGGATGTGAGAGGCCTCCCTCAAGCACACCCGTCCCCTCGCCACCCAGGCCCTAGTACCTCCAGGGCTGGGCATGATGGGTGTGCCAGGGGGCCCACCGCCTCCTGGAGGTCCCTGCATGTAGAGGCAGACAGAACATTAGGAAGGCCCTACTGCCGCCCTTGAGTGATCCAGTGTTGGCCCCGGACCCCACTCACCGTGTAGCTGCCAGGGGAGGAGGCAGAATAGGGGATCTAGGGAGAGAGGCAGCTGTGAGCAGTCCGCCCACGGTCCCCCCACACCCCGCACCCTACCCACTGCCCCACTCCCCGACTCACCGAGTTGCCACTGGGGCTGGCCCATGGGCCACGCACTCCGGGGCCCCTATCAGAGATGGTAGATGGAGCCTAGAGCTGGACAAGCAGGACTCCTCCCCGCCCCACACCTTGGGCCCCCGAAACGGCAGATGTTGACTGAGTGCTAACCACTTGAAAATGCCAACCCATCACTCACTGGCCTTCGGGCCTTAGTTTTCCCACCCAACAGTGGAATAAACAATATCCCAGGCTGTTGTGCCGATCCAGCCCAAGAAGCTGGGTGGTGGCCCCCATGGGCAGACTCCAGGGGTCCCTTTAGGGCCTTACATGTTCATGGTGGGCAGGCCTGGGCCAGCGAGGGAGTTGGGTGGGGGCCGCATGCCACTTCCATAGCTCTGTGAGGGGAAAGGGCCCTGAGTACAGGCCAAGACGGGAGAGCCCCTGGAGCCCCCCTGGGCCCACCCCTTACCTGGGGCCCAACGCTGGCCATGCCCCGTGGAGGAGTCACCCTCTGCATCGGGCCCATGCTCGGATGCCCTGGGTGGGAGCAAAGGGAGGTGGCTCAGGTTGGGACCACTCCGCAGTGTGGACACACACCTGGGGGAGGGGAGTGCACAGTGAGGCAGCAGGGATGGAGCGTGAAAGCTGGGGTCCTGATGGTGAACACCAGCGGGTGCTTCTCTACTCACCCTGCACACGCGGGGAGGGGTCCATGGCACCCGGGAGGGAGCCAGGTAGGCCCACAGGAGGCTGCAAAAGGGACACGGCAGCCATGAGTGTGGGTGCCCTTCCCCACCTGGCTCCTGCCACGCCCCCTCCTCCGTCTGCCTTCCCTCTCACCTGACTCGGCATCCGCAGGGTGGGCCGGGGGCCCCCTGAGAACCTCGGTGACATGAAGGGCTGGAAGAAGTGGGCCAGGGGTCAGCACCGCCCCCTACCCACTCACCCCTGCCCCCCCAAAGCTACCTGGTTCCTGCTGTGCCCAGACCCAGAGCCTGACTTACCCCATCTCCAGGCCTAGCCAACAAACCCTAGTGGCTAGCTCCCGGTGTGTGTGAGCGGAGGAGCGGGATGTGCATGGGCAAAGGGACAGGGGTGTCACAAGTCCTTACCTGAATGTGAGGCCCCATCATGGGGGTGTTGGGGTTGTGGGGGGGCAGCTGGGAGCCCAGGGGGCCCTAGGAGGACAGAACCAGGTGGGTTGGGAAGCGCTAAGTCACCCGAAGCTCTACTGTTTCCTGAGGCCCTGCTAAGTCTGGGCAAGGAGGGGCAGTGGAGAGCCATGGAGGTGGGAGGGTGGGCCATTCACCCATCTGCAGGCTGGGGATGTCCCCTCCAGGAGGGGTCACGGGAGGGACCTGTGGCTCAGAGAGCCACGCTCTGGGGGCCCAGGCACCCTGGCATGTACACACACAGTCTAGTGGGCAGAGATCCCGTCCTTCCTGCCCTGGGGCTCAAACCCTGCAGCCCCTCCTTCGCTAGCCCCACCAAGGCCCGTACGGGCATCCCCGCTGCAACCTTCCCAACCAGGTCCAGCCTGCCTGCCTCAGGGTTTCTCCCGAAGTGGGACCCACACCCATCAGCACCTGTGCCTGTCATTCTCTGACACATGTGCACCCAGAGTCAGGGGGACAAGGGCCCCAGCCCTGGCTGTACCTGGAAGAAGCCAGGTGCCATGGGGCCAGCTGCCATTGCATCGCTGGGGGCTATGCTCCCCATCACAGGGCTGGGGGCAGCGGCAGCGCTCTGCAGGGCGGGGAGACATGAGGTGTAGTCAGGCCAGTTCTGCCCCAGCGTTCCCTCAGCAAGTAGCCAATCCCACAGAACAGGGCACCCAGGCCATCGGACCCTCTGTCCACGCAGGGGGGGACGGCTGGGGTCCTAGGAGACAGAACAGCTGCCCCTGTTCCCGCCCCAGTTTAACACCCTAACAAGTCCACAGACTCTGACTTGCTGGGTGGCCTCGAAGAGGCTCTGCCTCCTTGCTGCACCTGAAAACCTGGAGGCGGTCAGGGCCGAGCCCGGCTGAGCCCACACAGCTCATGAAGGAGGACAGGGATCCAGAGATTCCCAACCCCGAGTCCCCAAGCTGAGGAATGTGGAGGTCGGAAAACGTCACCACCCAGGACTGGCGTGCACTCAGGGATCCAGGCTGATGCTTTCCATCTGAATCCAGCTCCACTTGGTAGGGGCACCATCCCCTACCTGCCCCAGGCCCTTCCCAGCACACTTGGTGTCCTCCTGGCTGGCGAGGCAGCTTAGCTGGACCCCCAGCTCCACCCAACATACGCCAAATAAACAGACAAAAAGTCAGTCAACAGCTTGAAGATGAAACTCCCTCCCCAGGGTTCCTCCTCAGAGCAGCTGTGCAGACCACGCCCCCTGCCCCCCCAGAAGAACTGGGCTCTCTGGGTACAGTTTCCAGGCCCCCAACCTCTCTTCAGATGGAGGAGGGGAGAAGGCCAGGTGCTAGAGGGGCATTATCTTGTGGGCCAAGGGCAGAAATGCAGGGGGCAGGCTGACAAGTCACTTCCTCTGGTCAGGCTTGTCAGCTTTTGGGGGCCCACAGAGCGGGGGGGGTGGGGGGAATGGAAGGCTAGTCTATAGGGCAGAGGGGACACATCAAAGGATAGGGAAGGGCACTGAGTGGCGAGCACTTTTCTGGGGGCCCCTCCTCTCCTGTCTGCATCATCCATCCTCCCCCCCCAAGTCCCAGGAGGAAGGGGAGAGTCTGTCTTCATCACTGCTGTTCCTGAGGCTGCACAAGCCAACACCAGGGTTCTCAGGAATTTGTGGAACGGCAGCCATTCGGGCTCAGAATTCAGCACTAACCCTGCCGTACAGGAGTGGGGCAAGGGGCTCCTGAAGACACGCCCCTCCCTAAACGAAACTGCAGCCTGGCACCCTTCCTGCTCCTTCTCAAAGGTCTGCCTCCAAAGGACCCCTGCCCAGGCCCCAGGCTGGGGGACTGGGAGAGCCTCCCCAGACCTACAGTGGCGAAGGGCGTACCCAGGCCCAGCACAGTCACTCATCTGAAAGCCCAAGCAACCCAGAGGGTAGGGGTGGGGGAGACAAAGCTCTCAGCCCCTGGGGCCCCCTGCCGCCACCCCACTACCGCACAAGCACACAGCCCAACAGCCGGCAGCAGCTACTCTGGCAGGCACCGCTTTGGGGGCTGTAGGGGGACACATTCTGTGCTCTGGGTCTGTCCACCCACACTGCCTACCCAATAGGCACAGCAGGCGCCAGAGCAGTTCCTGGTCAGGGAGGAGAGGGCGGAGGCGGTTGGAAGGCTGCAAGCAGAACTCAGGACCACGAGGGGGAAGGTATGGTGTACCCCGCACCCCTGTGGCTCCCCAACTCTAGGCCCTGAAGGGTTAATACTTAGCCTCCCCTGGGTCCCCTGCATCAATCATTCACCCAAAAGCACCCAGCCAGCATTGCCACCATGACTAGGTCAGTGTGCTGGCATTTCTTGGAAATGCTCAAATGGCCTGGCGGGGGTGGGGAGTGGGGGGGGGAGGGCTGGAGGCCTCCTAGGAGGGCAGGCAAGATGTCTCCAACTAGAGTGGGAGCTGCAGGGACCCATCACCCTCCGCACACCCACTGCTGTGCCTACACGGGTTCCCCCAGGCGCCCTGCTGCCATGGTAACGTGCGCACAGGGAAGCACACGCACACGAATGTGGAACCCTAGTGTCTCGTCCTCCCAGGAGGCCCCAGAAGTCATCAGACTCGGGGGGGGGGCAGGGCCGTGAGGGGAATGGCCCCAGGGACAACGAAGAGGCACAAGGAGGGACACAGCTCCAGGCACCCCTGAGCCCCAGGTCTGGCAGAACTGGGACAACAAATGCACAGAGGGATTCGATGAGGGCGAAAGCAGGGACCCCGGCTTCCATGCACACACATACAGTGTACGTGGGGCAACTTCCGGGACATGTGAACCCCTAACCCTCTTGCACCCCGGCCCTGCAGAGCCCTGGGTTGAAGTGCCATTGCAAAGAGAGAGGTGGGGGCAGCTACACCCTGGGAGGCCTGAGGGGAAGAGGTGAGGGCACCAGCTGGGTGCACAGGAGGAGGGGGCAGAAAGGGGGAAATAGCCTGGAGCTGTACCTCCCTCGGAAGCTGGCTGAGCCCCTGCCTGGCCCTTGGGCCCACAGCCTAGGCAGGGTGGAGAGGCAGGGCCAGCTGACCTCAAGACCTCCCTGGTCTGCCCTTGACCTCTCTGAGGGGCCAGGGCGAAGAGGATAAAGGCAGAGGGGATGCCACCCACCCCCTCATGTCACTCCTCCTCCCAGGCTCTCTACTAGTAAACAGGCCTCTGGTGCTGCCCCTCCCCCCATCAACCAAGAGGGAAACTGAGGCCAAAGCGGTGAGTTAGCAGCCCCAGTCACAGAACAAGGTCAGGAAGTGTCCTGGGTGGTGTCAGCTAAACCCCCGAAACCCTGGCTAGGCTCCTACCTCAGGAGGCTCAGAAAGGCCGGGGTGGCAGGGACAGGTGGTGGTGGAGGCAGGAGCTACCGTCTGTCTAGCCTGGACCAGGGACTCAAGTGAAGAGGACGAGGAGGGACTGGCCTCAGGAAGGTGTGGGGGCTCCAGTGCAGTGGAATGAGCCTCCCTGTGAGTGACCGGAGGCCCAGCGGAGGACACAGGAACCCAGGCTCTCAGCCCTCCTAAGCAAACCCACAGGCCACGCGCCCCTCCCATCCCCCCCAGGCCCCAGGCCCCAGGCCCGCCGCCTTGCCCGTGCCGGGTCCCTGGGGCGGGACTCACGTAGTCCTGGAAGGCCTTGGCCTCGCTTGAGTGCTCACATGCCTCTCTGCGGTCGGGCGCTGCGCAGTACAAGTCCCAGAACACGCTGCGGGCGGCAGGGAGATGATGGTTTCCCACATGCCCCCCCCCACTCACCCCCCTCCAACGCCTGCCCACGCCAGCCCCACACGCACCACCACCAGGAATGCAGGAAACCTGGGGGCTCCCCCAGCGTGATGTTCTTCTCCCATCGGATCTGCACAGAAGGAAGGCAGGTGAGGAGCCGCTGCCCAGTCTGCTAGACCCGCCAACCCACCTCAGGCAGGGAGCACGGGCCAGGGACCAGCGGTCCAGAGCAAGGTGGCTGGGAAGGGACAACGGGTACAACAAGGGCAGAGGAGCGAAAAGCAGGTCCTCAGATGGGCAGACAGACGCCTCTATGCCAGCCGCCGAGCCTGACCCACCCCAGCCCTCAGTTCCCAGGGCCTTCAGCGGGGCCACCACTGGAGCCCCGACAGGAGCCGGGAGGAGAGGACCCTGGGGCAGGGTACAGGCAGGGCCCGCTTACCTCAGACAGAAAGGTCTGTGCT